ATATAATGATATTCTTTGTCTCTTCTTACAGTTTATGACCTAAAGTCTATTTCATATGACATATGTGTAGCCACTGCATCTCTTTCGTGGTTTATATATATATATGCAATACCTTTTTCTGTCCATTCACTTTTAGTGTATATGTGTCTTTTCACTGGAAATTCACTTAAAGAGGTGAACTTGTTGGCAGCATATAGTTGGATGTTGTTTTTATTTAAATCCATTTAGCCACTCTGTCTTTTAATTGGAGAATTTAGTCCCATTTACATTAAATGTTATTTGAAAGGTAAGGACTTACTACTGCTATTTTGTTACTATTTTCTGATTCTTTTATAACTCCTCTCTTCCATTATTTTATTACTGTCTTCCTTTGTAGTTTAGTGATTTTTCTCTGGTGGTATGTATTAATTCTTTGACTTTTGAAAGTGTATCTTTTACAGGTTTTTGCTTTGTGGTTATGATGGGGTTTAGAACATCTTATAGTCATAACAAGTTATTATAAACTGATGACAACTCAACTTTGATCAAAAAGAAAATAAACAGAAAACTAATATCTCTACAATTTAAGTCCATTACTTCCACATTTTAACTATTTCCTTATCTCAGTTTACATCTTTTTATATTGCTTATCCCTTAATAAATTGCCCCCCCTCCTTTTTTTTTACATGGCGTCTTGCACTGTCTCCCAGGCTGGAGTGCAGGGGTGCAATCTCGGCTCACTGCAACCTCCGCCTCCTGAATTCAAGCGATTCTCCTACCTCAGCCTCCTGAGTAGGTGGAATTACAGGCATTGCGACCACACCCAGCTAATGTTTGTATTTTTTAGTAGAAAAAGGGTTTCACCATGTTGGCGAGGCTGACCTTAATAAATTGTCATTATTTTTGATAGATTATTTTTAGTCTTAATACTAAAGCTATGAGTGGTTTACACACCATGATGCAATATTTGTCTGTATACTTTATTCTGAATTTGTCTGTATACATTTACCAGTGTATTTTATAATTTCAGATATTTTCTTGTTGCATGTCACTGTTCTTTTCTTTAAGATTGAGCAACTGGTTTTAGCAGTTCATGTAAGACAAATCTTCTGTTGATGAATTCCCTCATCTTTTGTCTGGGAAAGTCTGTATCTCTCCTTTATGTTTGAAGGATGGCTCTGCTGGGTACAGTATTTATGGCAGGTTTTTTTGTTTGTTTGTTGTTGTTGTTTTTCATTTGGTACTTTGAGTATGTTGCCCAAGTCTCTCCTGCCCTATAGGACTTACACTGAAAAGTCTGGTACCAGAGGAACAGAAACTCCTTTATATGTTATTTGCTTCTTGTCTCTTGCTGCTTTTAATATTCCCCTCTTTGTTGCTTACCTTTGAGAGTTTGATTATTATGTGCCTTAGTGTAATCTTATTTAGGTTGAACATGTTTGGTGGTCTTTAACCCTGTACCTGGATATTTATATCTTTCTTAAGTGTGGAAAAGTCTCTGTTGTTATTACTTTGAATAAGTGTTCTATCTTTTGTTCTTTCTCAGCATCCTCTTTAAAGCCAATGACTCTCAGACTTGGTCTTTTGAGGCTATCCCTTGGATCTTGTTTGCATTCTTCATTTTTGTCATTTTTTTTCTCTTCTTATTGTGTATTTTCAAACACTGTCTTAGAGCTCACCGATTCTTTCTTCCACTTGATTAATTCTCTCTTGAGAATATGCCATGCATTTTTCAGTTTGACTATGGTTTTTCTCAGCTCTAGGATTTAATTTCTTAAAATTTCAATTTCATTGTTAAATTTCTGTGATACATTTCTGAATTGCTTTTTTGTGTTATATAGGCATTTTCTGAGTTTCCTAAACATTGCTATTTTTGTATCCTTGATCTGAGAGCTCACACATGATCATCTCATTAAAGTCAGTCATTGGCTCCTTATTTTGTCTATTTGGGAAGGTCATGATTTCCTATTTTCTCTTTTTCATGAATATATGTCTGTGAATTTGCACTGAAGGATTAGTTCTTTATTCCAGTCTTCGCTATCTGGCTTGGTTTGGTCTTTCAAAAGTATGTCTGTCTAGAGGTTTTGTACAGATTATTTAGTTCCCTTAGCCTGAAAGCACTGCCTCCTTTTCAACACTAGATGGCACTTTGAGCCCAGATTTGCCATAGTCTTTCATAAGTTCAAAGTGCTACCTATCCTGGATGGGGAGAAATCCCAAAGAAGATACCCCTGCTCTGTGGGAATGCTAGATAGAGGTTTGTTTCCAGAAGAACAGTGAAGTGTGCCCCCTGCAATGTGATTTGTCAAAAAATACTAATACTAATAGCTGTTGAACAACCTCTAATTTGGTGTATTTTTTTGGTTCAGATAAAGGGAAGCTGTTGAGTTTCATGCACTGGGTGTTGCTAACCCCACCCCCACCTTCTAACTAGCTGCTTTTGTGATTTTTTTTTACTCTGCAGGCATTCAAGAGGCTTCCTACAGGTTGAGGCATGAATAATTTTTCTGAAAAGGAATGTAAGATGGTGGGGAAGCTAGCTGTACACTTTGATTTACTTTTTTCAGTATAGCAAGCTTGATTTTGAGGGTGCTTTTCTGCACAGTGCCTAGAAGCTTGGGGAAGGAGCATCACAGTTACAGAGGTCCATGTATTTTACCTTTTCCTTGCAGTTTTTCAGTTATCTGTGGCCTCACAGCATCAGTCATTGAGTTCTGGAATATTCGTTTTGATAATCTTGGCAGTGGCTAGTTCTTTTTTGTTTTCTGTGGAGGAGAGTGAAGCTATATAACTTATACTCTGCTATTTTGGTGACATTACTCAGTTATGAGAGTTATATATTTTGTTAACAAGTCCTTTGTCAGATAAGTTATTTTCAGAGATTATATCCCAGTCTGTGGCTTAGCCTTTCATTTTCTTAGCTGTGTCTTTTTAAGTTGTACAAATTTATAGAGTATGTGAGCAATTTTTAACATATGTGTAATGCATAGTGATCAAGACAGGTTTTAGGATACAATGCATTGTTTTTAAGTATAGTCATCCTACTCTACTATTGAACATTGAATTTATTTCTTCTATCTTATGTTGGTACCCTTTAACCCACTTATCTTCATGTTCTCCCTTCTTGCCCACTCACACTTCCCAATCTCTGTTATTTTTCTACCCTCTGCCTCCATGTGTTGAAAATTTTTAGCACCCACAAAATAAATGAGAACATGTGATATTTGTCTTTTTGTGCCTGGCTTATTTTACTTAAGACAGTGACCTCTAGTTCCATCTATGTTGATGCAAATGCCATAATTTCATTGTTTTTATGGCAGAATAGCATTCCATTGTATAGTTGTACCATATTTTCTTCATTCATTTGTTGATGTACACTTAGATTGATTCATTATCTTTGCTATTATGAATGGTGGTGCAATAAACATGCAAGTGCAAGTATTTCTTCAGTATAATTATTTATTTTTCTTTAAGTCGATACCAAGTAATAGGATTGCTGGATTGAATGGTAATTCTATTTTTAGTTTTAAGGGTATCTCTTGAAAAGCATAAACTTTTAACTTTATTGAAATCTAGTTTATTGCTTTATTTTATGGATCATGCTTTTTGTTTCCTACTTTCTTCGCCTAACTCAAAATCATAACAATTTTCTGCTTTTTAAAAATAGAAGTTATTTAGTTTCATTTTTTACATTTAGGCCTATGATCCCTTTGAGGTAATTTTTATATATTGCACAAAATATGGCTCAAGGTTAATTGGTTTCTGAATGGATATTTGTCTATTCAAATTATTTGCACATTTCTTAGTTTGTTTTTTGCTGTCAAATGATGCTAGTTTCTTAAATATTTTGAATATTAACCATTTATCAGACATACAGTTTGCAAGTATTTTCACTCAGTCCATAGGCTGTCTTTGCATTTTGTTGATTTTTTTTTCTGCATAGAAGCTTTTTAATTTGTTGCAGTCCCACTTGTTTCTTTTTAATACCTAATTTGTGAAGATACTTTATCCCGAAAGGATGTTGAACTTTGTGAAAGTTTTTCTCGCATTTATTAAAATAACCATGTGGTTTTTTGATTATTCCTTTTGCTGATGTGATGTATCATAATAATTAATTTGGATTTGTTAAACCATATTTGCATCCCAGGAATAAATCCTACTTGGTCATAATATATTGACTTCTTGATATTTTACTGAATTTGGCTAGCTACTATTGTATTGAGAATTTTTGTACCTATGATCATTAGTGATATTGGCTTGTAGTTTTTTTCTCGTGTTTTTGTCTGACTTTAGAATCATTTGGGAATATCCTGTAGTTCTTTTTTTTTTTTTTTTTTGGTAATAGTTTAAGAGGGATTGCTTCTAATTCTTATCTGAGTGTTTGGTAGAATTCAGTTATGAAGTCATCTGGTCCTGAGATTTTGTTGTTGTTGGGTGATTTTAAATTACTCTTCAATCTCTCTGTTTGTTAATGTTCAGACTTTATGTTTCTTCTGTATTCAATCTTGGTAGGTTGTATATTTCTAGGAATATATTCATTTCCTCTAGTTTTTCCAAGTTGCTGTCATATAATTGTTCATAATAGTCCCTTGTAATCCTTTTCATCTCTGAGACATCTTTTGTAATATCTTCATGTTCATTTTTAATTTTGTTTACCTGTATTCTCTTTTTCTTCATTAGTCTAGCTGAAGGTGTGTTAATTTTTTTTTTTTCTAAAAACCAAGTCTTAGTTTTGCTGATTTTTTTTCCCTATAGTTTTTCTGTTCTCTTATTTATATCTACTTTGATGTTTTATTTTTTTCCTTTTACTATCTTTGAGTCTAGTTTGTTAATTTTTTTCTAGTTCCTTGAGGTGTGGTATGACATTGTTTACTTCCAATTTTATTTTTCATTTTTTTTAATGCTATCAATATCCCTCTTAGAACTTTTTGTGCTGCATCTCAAAGGTTTTGGTATGTTGTGCTTTCTCAATTTTATTTGTCTCAAGATATTTTTTTAATTTTCCTTTTAATTTTTTTTGACCCATTTGTTATTCCAGGTTATGTTGTTTAATTTCTACTGATTTAAGAATTTTCTAGTTTTCTTCCTGTTACTGACTTGTAGTTTTATATCATCATGGCCAGAAAAGATACTTAATATGATGTCTATCTTCTTAAATTTGTAAGGTGACTTAAGCCTGTAATCCCAGCACTTTGGGAGGCCGAGGCAGGTGGATCACGAAGTCAAGAGTTCGAGACCATCCTGGTCAACATGGTGAAACCCTGTCTCTACTAAAAATACAAAACATTAGCTGGGCATGGTGGCACGTGCCTGTAATCCCAGCTACTCAGGAGGTTGAGGCAGGAGAATTGCCTGAACCCAGGAGGCGGAGGTTGCGGTGAGCCGAGATCGGGCCATTGCACTCCAGCCTGGGTAACAAGGGCGAAACCCCGTCTCAAAAAAAAAAAAAAAAAAAAGACTTATTTTGTGGTATAACATGTGATCTATTCTGGACAGTAATCCATGTCTACATTAGAATAACGTATATTCTGCTCATGTGGTGTGAAACATTCTATATGTGTCTGTTGGGTCTTTTTGATATATAGTTTCAGTCAAGTGTTTTCTTATTGCTTTTCTGTCTGGATGATCTATCTTTTGTAAAAAGTAGGATATCAACGTACCCTAATATGATTGTATTGCTGTTTATTTCTCCTTTCAGATCTGTTAACATTTTGTTTATATATTTATTTGCTCTGCTGTTGGATTCATATGTATTTACAGATAATTATATATTCTTGATGAATAGATATCTTTATCATTATATAATGGCCTTTTTTTTTCTACTGACAGTTTTTGACTTGACTTAACCTCCATTTTGTCTGATACAAGTATAGCTACCATAGTTCTCTCTTTGTTTCCATTTGCATGAAATATCTTTTTCTATCCCTTCACCTTCAATTAGGGTGTCCTTGAAGGTGAAATGATTCTCTTGTAGGCAACATATATTTGGGTTTTGTTTTCAATAAATTCATTCAGGTGCTTTATATCCTTTGATTGGAGAATTTAATGCATTACCATTTAAAGTAATTATTGATAGGTAGGATTTACTATTGACATGTTGTTAGTTATTTTCTGGATGATTTGTAGCTCTTTTTTTCTTTCCTTTCATTGTTTTTCTTTGTGATTTCATTATTTTCTATAGCAGAATACTTTGATTCATTTATCTTTATCTTTTGTATGTTTAACATAGGTTCTTCCTTTGTGGTTACTATGAGGCTTATATAAACTATTAACAACTTAATGTCAGTCACATACCAAAGTTCTGCATTTTAATTTTCCCATTTTATCGTTGCTATTACAGTTTACATCTTTTCATATTGTATATCCTTTATCAAGTTAATGCAGCTATGGTTATTTTTAATAATTTTTAACCTTTATATTAGAGTTATAAGTGATTTACACACCACCATTACACCTTTATCAGTGAGGTTTATACTTTCATATGTTTTTATATTACTGATTAGCAGCCTTTTAATTTTAGCTTTTGTTTTCCTTTAACATTTCCTGCAAGGCAGGTCTAGTGGTAATAAACTCCCTTAGCTAGGTACTTTAGTCTGGAAAATTCTATATTTTTCTCTCATTTTTGAAGAATATTTTTGCTGGGTAAAATACTTTTCTTTCAACACTTTGTATATGTCATCCCATTGTCTTCTGGCATACAAAGTTTCTGCTGAAAAATCTGCTCATAGCCTTATTAGGACCCTTTCTATGGGATATACTTCTTTTCTTTTGTTCTTTTCATAAGTCTTTCTTTGTCTTTGATGTTTTATAGTTTGATTGTAATGTGTTTCAGTGTACTCAAAGACAGATCATTTTAAATCATCCAGTCGGAGAAGAAAAAGAAAAAAGGAATGAAAAGGAATGAGGAAAGCCTACAGGATCTATGGGGCACAATCCAGAGAGCTAACATTTGTAAAATTCAGGAGTTTCAGAAGGTGAAGAGAGAGAGAAAGAGAGAAAAAAAAAAAAAGCTTATTTAAAGAAATAATTAGCCCCAGACCTTCAAATCTGTAGAAAGATGAAAACATCCAGGTGCAGAAAGGTCAGAGAACCCCAGTCAAATTCAGCCCAAAGAAGAGTTCTTGTTGGCTCAGGCAGCTAGGATCTATACAGTTGGCAACGCCATGGTCCTTGGTGGCAAGAGCTGCAGAAGGTTCATAGTGGCTATGAGAGCTGTTGGGGTCCTCAGCTCTACCTCTGTATTCACTGGCTAGATGTAAGAGCCTGCAGTGGTGGAGACTAGAGCTAGTGTTGTGCACACACTTTACTGGAGAGACTGGCTGCAGGCACATGCATGGCAGCTGTGGCCAGCTGTGGACCTATGCTGGGTAGCAAGGACTTGGGTCACTAGTCGTGTTTAGGGCAAATTGTGGGTATACAAGTAGTTATGGGGTCTGGCTATCTTATATCTACATGATTAAAGGGGTTAGCCAGGCTGTCTGTGTATGAGCAGCTGCAGGTCTGAGCTGGAGGTGTCCATGTGTTTACGGCTACAGGGGCCAGCTATGGGTGCAAGTGTGGTGATGAGGTAAGACACCAGAGGCATGGCCAGCTGCTTATGTGCGCACAGGTCTGGCAGTGTGTGATAGCCTGTCTGCATGGGTCAGCTTTCGTAACACGTGGTAGTGAGACTGGAACCCCCAGTTTGGTACTCTAGGGCCATTTGTAGGTACATGCACAGTAGCTGTGCTGGGTCATTGGGCCAAAGCATCCAAGGAGGCGGTAGCTGGAGCCATCCCAGCTACCGCCTCCTTAGATGCTCCAGCCCAGTAATGGCTTAAGTACCTAGAAAATGCAAAGGTTCCTGTGCTGAGTCCCTTGGCCAAGGCACCTGTGATAGAAGTAGCTCAGGCAATTTTGGGCATGGGGAGGGAATGCACTGGAAGATCAGGGATCTGGCAAATATGAAGGATGTTGGCCTGCATCACCCCTTTCCACTGGGCTATATAGCAACTATAGCAGCAGTCGGGCAGCTCTTGGTGGCTCCAGGAAGTTAGAAGAAGAAGAGTCATGACTCAAGCACATTTTTTTTTCTCCTAAAACTGAGAAGGAAGAAAAACACAACCCATGGGCCCTTAGCAGTATAGGCTGCAGGGCGTTTGCTGTTACTATACTAGCAGTTGGTTCTCTCAGCAGTGAAAGCTGCTAGGGTCCTCTGCAGAAAAAGCTGCTGCGGTCTGTGACTGTGAACACTGAAGGATCCCGAGAAGTAAAATCTACAGAAGGTACCCAGTGGCTATGAGGGCTGTTGAGGTCTTTGACAGCAAGGCCTATTGGGGCCCTGTGACAAGCAGGCCACTGAAGATCACTGTGACTCCTGCTACTTTGCTGCTACTGTTAGAACTGGTCTCTATTCTTTGCTCTTTGCTGCCTCCAGACATCTAGGCTATATCCGTCTTCTCAGAGATCTGGGTGGGATGAAACTGAAGCTGGTCATGTGGGCAGTGTCCCATAAAGCTGGGGAAGCTGGTTGTATACTCCACTCTCCTTTTCCCTGTGTGTAGGACACAAGATCCAGGGAGTTTCCTTTCCATACTGAGCAGTACCAGCAATGGGGATGGGGTGATGCAGGCAAAATTAAACTGTTTTTCCTACTCTTTTCATGTATTTGTTTTCTGATTTTTTTTTTCACTATATTGCTGTGTCTTCTTAAGTGGACTCCTAAGCACTTCAAGAATTATTTTTGGTTCATGGATAGCTACCAAACTGTTGTTCTTTGCTGAGAAGAGGAAGGATATTTCCTACTTTGCCATCTTACTGGCATCCTCTCCTAAAAGTTGATTTCTAAGTATTTAACATTTTTTTGGCTGCTATTATAAATGTTTTTTTTTTTTTTTTGGGAAACAGAGTCTCGCTCTGTTGCCAGGCGCCAGGCTGGAGGCTGGAGTGCAGTGGTACTATCTCAGCTCACTGTAACCTCCACTTCCCAGGTTCAAGCAATTATCTTGCCTCAGCCTCCTGAGTAGTAGGACCACAGGTGTGCGCAACCAGGCCCAACAAAATTTTTTTGTATTTTTTAGTAGAGATGGGGTTTCACCATGGTCTCGATCTCTTGACCTCATGATCCGCCCACCTCGGCCTCCCAAAGTGCTGGGATTACAGGCTTTAGCCACCGCCAGGCCTATAAATGGTATTTTACATTTTCAATTTCCTATAGTCTGTTGCTATTACACAGAAACACAGTTGATTTTTATACATTGACTTTGTGTCCTGACACATTACCGAATTCACTAATTGGTTCCAGTATTTTTTCTTGTAGATTTCTTAGGATTTTATGCATATACAGTTATGCCATCTCTGAAAAAAGACAGTTTTATTTCTTCTTTTTCAGTCTATATTCTGTCTATTTCTTTTTGTTTCTTAATTCTCTGGTCAGGATACACAGTACAGTGTTAACTAGAAATGGTGAGAACAGGCATCTTTGTCTTGTTCCTGATCTTAGGGGCAAGAATTCAATATTTTACCAAGTAATTAGCTTAGGGTTTTTCATGAGTGCCCTTTATTATATTGTGGTAATTTCTTTCTATTTCTAGTTTGCTGATGTCTTTATCATAAATTTAATTTTTCAAACGCTGATTCTGCATTATTGAAACAATCATGTAATTTTTCTCCTTTAATCTGTTAATGCGGTGAATTAGATTGAGATAAGCCCCACCTGATCATGGTATATTATTTTTTGTGTGTGTTCTATTTTGCTTGTTTTTCAACTCTTTATGTAATAACTGCATCTTGATACTTTGTTGATCGGTTTTTACTGCCTATTGTTTCTCTTGGGTTTTATAAATATTTTCTACTCTAATGTATCATGTTATCTTTTATTAAGTACTTATCATTATGTAATAAAAATTATAGATTTTTTTAACACTTTACTTGGAAATAATTTCAAACTTATGGAAAGGTTGAAAAATAAGAACCATACCAAAAATACCGAGATTCACTTGTCGTTAACACTTCACCATTTTGTTTTATCATTTGAGTGTGCTCTCCTTCTCTCTCCTGACTCTCATCTCTTCCCCTCTCCATATACATATTTATTCATACATATACACATACTCATACATTTTTTCCCAGCCTTTAGTGTTTAACTTGAATACATCTTAGATTCCTTACCTCTGAACACTTCATCACAATACATTTCCTTAGGGACATTTTATGGAGATAATATCAGGCTCTGGATGATGTGATTCCTTCAAACAGATAGTGATTTATTTTATTTCTTTTTTAGCTTTTCCAGCTATTCTCAGTGGCAGAGTCTGTCTACAACACCTGAGTCTGTCATTGCCAGAAGTAGAGTCACTGATCTCTCTCTTTTTTTGATCCATTCACACAGTTTCATTGCCATGCTGTGTTTTACTCTTGTCAGGGCCAATGTCCCCTCATTACTCTTCTTTTAGAGAATGTCCCTACTGTTGCTCTTTATTCATTTTTCTATAAGAACTTTATAGTCAGTTTATCTTGTTACTGAATAACTTTCTGATATTTTATTATGAATCGATTTGAGAATAATTGACTTCATTATCATTTTAATATTTCTGCCTAAGAATATGATCTGTCTTTCCGTTACTTCAAGACTTCTTTTGGGGTTTTTGGTAGCCTTTTTCTTTCCCTTTTTTCTTTGCCCACAGCAAGATGGATTCTGGATATACTCTGAGTATTGTAACAACCACCTGGATGCTTGCATGGAGCTCTCCAAGCTGATGAAGGACAGTCGCTACCAGCACTTCTTTGAGGCCTGCCGCCTGTTGCAGCAGATGATTGACATTGCTATCGATGGTTTCCTTTTGACTCCAGTGCAGAAGATCTGCAAGTATCCCTTACAGTTGGCTGAGCTCCTAAAGTATACTGCCCAAGACCACAGGTAAGGGATCAAGGGACGCAGGAGTGAATGAGGGAACTTCCTCCATCTGTTGGTCCTCATTGAGAATACATGTCCTTTTGCATTTTTCTGAACTTCTGTTAACTTATCTACAAAATAGGATGATACATTCTTGATTGCCTCATAGCCAACAGTGTTCAGAAGGCAGAGCTATCACTGGCTTTGTTACTCACTCAAAAGGAGGGTCCAGTACCACTATGTTTGGGTTAAAATCTGAAATCTGCTTAGGGATCCAGAACCACTAAAGCATATAAGATATGATTTGTTAGAGAAGTAACATCAATTCAAAAATAAACCCAAACATTAGCCCACATGCTTGATGTAAACCAAACCAACTGACCCACACCCAAGGCCTAATGCATCTAGGTCTGAAAATCTCAAGTAGACCAAGCAGTGGAGCTAAATCATACTTGTGGACTGATAATATTCACTAAGTATATTATATATGGCATAATTCATAGTAAGAGTTCCAGAAAAAAAGGTTTTAAGCACAGCTCAAAGCTATGTTAGTTTCTTAAGCCAAAACAAAATCAGAGCTTTCTGGGGGCTTGGTGGGCACCAAAAAGGATATATGCCTGGACTTTGCTGTTTCTGTCCATTTTCACCTTGTGACTAAAACTACTGCTTCAAAGCCCTTTTGCCATCTAGGTCCCTGATCCCCTCTCCTCCCACCCCTTGCACTCCAGAGTGACAGTAAGGTAGCTCAGGCAGTGGCAGGCTACATCAATTTCTGCCCTTCCTCAGAGTGACTTGTTGGGCCCAGCACAAGCCCCACGACATGGACAGCCCCTTCTGGTATGTCTCAGAAATCTGTATTAAGAATAGGAACACTTTTACACTGTTGGTGGGAGTGTAAATTAGTTCAACCATTGTGAAAGACAGTGTGGCGATTCCTCCAGGACCTAGAAATAGAAATTCCATTTGACCCAACAATTCCATTACTGGGTATATATCCAAAGGATTATAAGTCGTTCTATTATAAGGACACATGCACACGAATGTTAATTGCAGCACTGTTTACAATAGCAAAGATGTGGAACCAATCCAAAAGCCCATCGATGATAGACTGGACAGGGAAAATGTGGCACATATCCACCATGGAATACTATGCAGCCATAAAAAACGATGAGTTCATGTCCTTTCTAGGGACATGGATAAACCTGGAAACCATCATTCTCAGCAAACTGACACAAGAACAGAAAATCAAACACCACATGTTCTCACTCATAGGTGGGTGCTGAACAATGAGAACACATGGACACAAGGAGGGGAGCATCACACACTGGGGTCTGTAGCGGGGATCTAGGGGAGGGACGGTGGGGGGTGGGGAGTTAGGGAGGGATAGCATGTGGAGAAATGTCAGATATAGGTGATGGGGAGGAAGGCAGCAAACCACATTACCATGTATGTACCTACGCAACAATCTTGCATGTTCTTCACATGCACCCCAAAACCTAAAATGCAATAAAATACGTATTTAAAAAAAAAGATGATGGCTTCTGCCATGCATGTCAAGAGTAGCTTGGATTTGAAGGCAATTAAAGGCTGATGCCAGCTTGGAAGCTTAGTAAGATAAGTGTTCAGATAGGTAGGCCTGAAATACAGGCAGTCAGAATTGCCTCTGAGGGAGAAGATTAGATGAAGAATGATAAATAGAGAAGAATACTGACTTTGCTTACAGATGATTGACATACTTTCCCTACCCTACCTTCCTTAGGTTAACGAGAATGAAGGCTGCATGTAAGAGGGAGACTAGCTGACATGTCTGGAAGTAGAAAATATTTGTTCTATTATTCTCCCCAATAAGAGGCTGGGCCCAGACTTCATCTGAGGTCTTTGACCAGGGTTAGCCGCCTATTCCTTTCTTCTCTCACCCACTGCTAAAACTAGCAGGGCAGGTTAGAGATGGCACATTCCCCCTCTAGCCATTTTGATAAAGGCAGCCCGCTAAAGATGGCAAAAATAGGCAGTATGGGACAGTGGCAGTGAGGAATCCATGACTGGGTAGTCTTGGTGTAGAGGAAATGAACATTCTCATGCCAGGACTGCCCAGTAGAACTTTCTGCAACAATGCAAATTGTCTATATTTGTGTTGTTCAATATAGTAATCACCGACCACATGTGGCTGGTGAAGTACTAGGAAATATAGCTAGTTCAAATGAGGAACTAAATTTTAAGTTTTACTTAATTTTAATTAAATATGGCTAGTAGCTACCATGTTGGATAGTACAGCTCTGTGCTTTACTTCACAGAAAGTGGCTTAAAGCACTGATGTCCTTAAATCAGAGAAAGAAAAGGTACAGGGAACATAAAATGGGTCCAAAGAGCAGGAACACTTACTTATGTTAGCAGCTTCTGTGCTGCAATCTTCCCTTTTGTCTTCACCCTACCTCCTTCTAAATGTCAGGCTCAGATCTTACCAAGGAGAAACTTTGGTGATGTCGCAGAGCCCAAAAGATCCCCCATACATTGGAGCAACTAACTGTAAAAGAATGAAATGTAACAGAGCCAAATGTAGATTGTTTCCATTGGGTCTAAGATAAGAAATAAATAACTCAAGGACAGACTGAGAGATACAGCTTCTAGAGTGTGTTTTGAAGAGACTTAGGAAGGGTTAGTTGGCCATAAGCTCAATATGAGTCAGCAGTGGGATCCAGAAGAAAAACTGGTAATAGCTAATATTCATTGAGGCTCAGAATAAAGAAGACTTTTCTAACATATACTCTTGAGACATTTCAATGAAATCACTTATTTTCTAACTACAAGCAGCCAGAAAGAGCAGACAGTAAAACACAGATAGCTCAGACGTAAAATATAGACTGGTTAGGAAGTATAGTGAAAGCCTTTCACTGGAAGTGATAATGTAATATTGTTTGAGAGCCATGGCTCTGACAGGTGTGCAGAGCACAGATTGGAGTGATGGATGTGAGCTAAGAGGAGGTAGGTACTACATAGGATGTGCCCTGGCAATTAGAGGTTCCTTTCCTATGCCTTTCTTTGGTCCAACGACCCATTCTTCAGTGTCTTAAAAAAAAGGTGGTTGTTGCGCATATTTCTTTTCTCCTTCTTTTTTTTAAAAAAATGGTACTGAGACATTAAGTAGATTAGTGACCAAAGCTATTTTCAGTTTCTCTAAGGAAAGGTATTAACACTGAACTGTAATACATCCTCTTGTCTTCTCAGTTCATTTACCCCCAATGAATAGCTGAGATCTCACTATCAATCTGCCTTTCCCAAGAGCCATTCAAATGGAAATCAGAAAAGAACAGCAGAAAAAAACTGAACAGGATGTGTAACTCTCAGGACGTCTGCTCTCCAGAGTCCCAGGAAGTGAGGCCAAGGGTTACACTTCTGAGACTGGGGGTTTTAAGAGGCATCCCATGTTATGTCTCTATTACAGAAATGTTTGATTCATAATAATAATACTGCTAACATTTTTTATGTGCCAAGAGTAAAATAGCTTACGTAGATGATTGTGTTTAATTTTTGAAACCTTCAATAAACTATACTTTTCCCCATTTTACAGATGAGGAAATTGAGTCATTGAGAGAGGGAGTGAGACTTGCCAAAGGCCACACTGGTAGTCAATGAAGAAAAATGCATTTGAGCCCACAAAGTCTGGCTTCAGACTCTGTGTTCTTAACCACTATGCTACATTCTGTTTCTATATTGTGCAAAAGGAAAGGTGAGGATGTTATTTCACAGTGATTTTGGGAAGAAGCTCCCTAGAATTAGATGGTGGAAGAGATAGTAAGGTGGTCTATGCTGCATCATGTGTGAGGCTCCCTTCTTGGTCCTTGGCTGGCTGTATCAGATAGGACACAAAAAAAGTGATGTTAAAAAAAAATAGCGATCCATTTCTCTCTCATGTGAAAGAAGTATGTATTATGAGGTTTATGGCTGGTATGATGGCCCCATGGTCATCAGAAACATGAGCGCCCTACAGCTAACTGCTATCCTATACCTAGGGTAATAGCCTTGTCCTTATGGTCCAAGATGGCTACCAAAGGTTCGGCCATTATATCCACATTCCAAGCATCAGGATTGGCTAAAGAAGGGTATGCTCTCTTCCTTAAAGGTGATTTCCCTGAAGACCTAACTGATAGATAGAACAGGAGGACCATCATCTTAGACAAACACCGCCACTTTAAGTTCCAGCTCCCTTTCTAGTCTCATGCATTTCAAGGAAATCATTTATTTTCTAACTATAAGCAGCCAGAAGGAGCAGACAGTAAAACACAGATATGACAGCTCAGACACAGGAGGTTGGGGAAAAGTCTCTTGGATAACTGCCAAGAGACAATTAGCCTCATACAGTGGGCCCCAGTAAAACAGTGGGCCTTAATAAGCATATTCCTTTCCCTTCAGGTGCTCTAAGATAGGGAAGCTAAAAGCAGACTCAGGATATTCCTACAGCTGCAGAAAAATGTATGGGAACAGACACAAAACTGTCCCTCCCATATAAATACAAAGAGACACACAGAAGTAGTCCAAGCTTCTAATAAGCTCTCCCACCCTGAATCCTTAAAAACTCTTAGTCTGTAAGAGTATGGCTCTGACCTAACTTGGCCAACTGCCCCTCTCAGGTTTATTCAAAATAAACCTGTCCCTATTGACTGAAAAGCCATCCTTCGTGTTTCCCTCCTTTTTCTTTAATTCTTACACTACAAAACACATCTATTTACATATCAATGTACAAAACTTACTTGCACAGTCATTTCTGCTGAAACAAAGGGTAGGAAGTTTAGTCTTTTACTCTAGGCTGTGTGGGTTCCCATCTGAAAATCATCACTCTGTTACTAAGGAAGTAGAGGAGAGTGGATGTTAAGATTGGTACCTAGCACATTGGTTCCCTGGCACATTGGTTCATTCAACTTGTACTCTTGTGTTTTCACAGTGACTACAGATATGTGGCAGCTGCTTTGGCTGTCATGAGAAATGTGACTCAACAGATCAACGAACGCAAGCGGCGTTTAGAGAATATTGACAAGATTGCTCAGTGGCAGGCTTCTGTCCTAGACTGGGAGGTAGGAAACTTGCCAACCAGGGTATTGGGGAATCTGAATAGCTTGGCAAAAGCTTCCCACCTTAGCCAAGGATAGGTGAAGAGGAATTGGATTTGAAGAGCAACAGGAAGGATTTAGATTAGACTCAAGGTAAAATTTCCTGCTAATGAGAGGTGTTGGATACTTGAATAACATTTTAAGAAGATTGGAGAAATTTTTGTGATGATACCTCATTAAGAAAAGAAAAGTCCATTTCTTTAGGTATTGCCAGGGAATAATTGGGTTGACTCAGTAACCTTTCAAAGCTCTTTCTGGATTTATGACCAATAGATTCACACTTAGATAAGAAGTAGTATATACTAATTTACTTCCAGACACAGAATATGAGATTGGTTCTCTTGTTCCCAGCCATGCAGGACAGCCCACATACTGTTTTTTTTATCGATATTACCTCACCCTGACACATCTATTAGGTCTCTCTATTAGGCCTGTAAACTCTAGGCCACAACCATCATCCCTGCCAAATCCAGTTTTATCATCTGTTTTTAAAATAACCCTTGGCAGCCTTCCATTTCATTGCAGACAGCCATGACTTCTCTGAATTCAGAAGGCCTTAAAAAGCTAAAGTCTTGAAAATCTTCTCTTCCTAGATGCCCACCAAGAGAACCAGGAGTAATGACATTTCACGTTTGTCTCACAGGCCTAGGCCGTGCAATCTGATAGTCTGCTGGCTGAAATAACCAAGATGGGAGAGGCTGGACATGCTACTAGGGAGGGTTTAACAATCTTAAGCCTTGTGGTCACAGTATAGAGGTAGAGCCCACTCCCTATTCCACTGGCCTCAACTCAAGTGTCATCTTCAGTGATTAAGAGGTAGTATCTCTCTTAATATTTAATGTATTTTTAGCTCATTCCAACAGAACCAAGCATTGTCCTCACAAACAGCTGCTTAACCAAGGTCCAGAAAAAAAAAAATCATCTTCCTTTTATTCTGCTGCCTCTGTCCTACCTTAAAGTAGACAGCTGAAAAAGACCACAATTGTGATTAGCTGACATCCTTTTGGGTCATATTTGAAGGATAATGTTACCATATAAGTAGAACAGCAAGGATATTTTGATTTGCAGAGAAAGGAATTTGTCTAGATGAAGAGACCCTCATTCTCTTAAGCAGAAGCCAGCACTGGGCCAGACTTACTAGAAAATTGTGGGTCTTTTTTTTCTTGTGTTGGCCTTGCTTTGGCCAGTTGCCTGATTAGAGGCAAAGAGCTGGACCAAATGACTTCTAGCAAGCCCATCAACTCTAACACACTCTAAAATTATGGTGGATTAGCTGGCCTTATTCTCTCGTTGGCAGAGTTTTTTTATAAGAGAAGGTGCCCAGAAGCATTTGTCTTCCTATTCTCTGGAGCATCTCCCCAACTTCCCAATGCCTAGAAGACCTTGCAATTCCCCTGTGTGCTCTGAGACATCAGTCCTTGGAGCAGGAGCCATGGGGAACCAAAAGTAGCATGAAATTCCCTGGCCTACCCAGGAAACTTCAGTAACACCAAACTCAACAACACTGAGCTATGATTTAAAGACTTAGCATCTCAGAAGGAATTTCCTGCATGTTTGGGTGGGGCCACAAAACACAGTTCTAACAGTTTCTGCCTCCTTTGTTAGCCTGATTGATTGGTACTCTCATCTCATCTAAGCCCACACATCCTGTGTACCTTCCTGTTTAGTGAAGGCTTTCTTTATCTAAATTGACATCTTCATTCAGGTTGTTATAACAAAACACCATAGACTGGGTGGCTTATAAACAACAGAAATTTATGGTTGTGGAAGCTGGGAAGTCCAATATCAAGGAACCAGTAGATACAGTATCTGGTGAGGGCCCTCTTCATAGACTGTTGTCTTCTCATTGCAACCTCACATGGCAGAAGGGATGAGAGAACTCTTTGGGGTCTCTTTTAGGGAATGCTGATCCCATTTAATTCATGACAGCTTCATTCTCATGACCATAATCCCCCAAGGCCTCATTTTCAAATACCATCACAATAGGGATTATGTTTCTCAACATGTGAGTTTTATGGGGATACAAACATTCAGTCTATAGCAATTTGTAAGAAGAAAATTTCTTCATGGTCATCTTCTCAGACTCTCAGGTCACTGTGGAACTTGACAGTTCCAGAGAAGTTGTCCTCTAGGAAGTCTTTTCTCTAGTAAAGCCTAATGGATATATTTTAGAGGCCAAACCTAAAGTTTCTGTCATATTTGCCATATGTATCTTAACGACTTCTAGATTATCAGAGTCACCAAGGCTCTTAGAGGACTCCCCCTACAACCCTGATGATTCTTGTGTGTAGACACATGCACATATGCACATAAACACATACTCTCACACACTTACCCTCAAAGCACCTTGCAATGATGGTGGAAGACAGAGAAGCAGAGAGAGGCTTATTTCCTACCAAGGCCACACAGCAAGTCAGTGACGAAGCTGGAACTTGAATCTAGTCTCCTGATTCCTTGTGTGGTGGTGTTTTCAGTAATGTACAACATATTCCTTCAGCCTTCTGCCTGTCTCTGCCCAATTGCTATTATTTGTGATACTGCAGTGACTTGCTTTTTGTATGTAATAAAAAGTCTATATCTAAATAAGGTAGTGAGACTACCTTGGGGAGGTCATCCAAATCCCAGTCAGGCAGTGGGTGAGTGCTGGGGAGTCTCAACAGGAAAGCAGTAAGACATGGATATTCCATGGCTTGATGATTATTACGATTGGTAGCCCAGTTTCACAGGTTCCCTAATATAGGTTTTTTGTGCATTTTACCTGCCCAAGAAGTTGACTAGGTAGGGAGAGATATTCTGCCAGATTGCCAAGGACTGCTGTGAACAGACCATACAAATCAAAAAAAAAGAAAAAAAAGCCATATTTTGCTGTCTCTGCCACCCTCTTGCCTCCCAGATGTTTGAATAAACAGAATGGCTGTCAAAAGCATCTGCACGACAATTTCAACTTCATTTGTCAAATGAAAAAGAGGAGTCATAGGGGAAACCTTCAGAGCTTAATTTCCCTTGAAGAGGAATTTGGAGGGTAGCAAGCAGGCAATTACTGTCTACTCAATAAATCAATGTCTGGCTAGAGAGCGGGAAGCCTTGCATTATATCAAGGCCTGACCCTTCTCTTAGCTTATTCCATGAACATCTTTGGTTTCTTTGCCCAATTCTGGTTATTATCCCTGCCCTCTGCCATTCTGTGGGGACTAGAGTTCCTGAAATACCCCTCCTTTTATCCCAACCCCCTTGACTCCTGAAAAACAAATGGATGAGTAAAAGTGTCAGTCATCTCTCTAAGTAGTAATCAATGCATTAGAGCAGTATGCAGGAGCAGCAGGGAGAATAATCTATTCCAAGGGACTACAGTTTTTGGGAAATTTCTATTTCTAATTTCTGTGATGCTGAGGTTTGATTGAGCTGTCACTTTGCCACCTTGCACACTCATTTAATCCATTTGAAAAGAAGGGAAAGATAACATATCCCGGGCAGCTTCTTTTTAATCTTTTTTTTTTTTTTTTTCTGGAAATTTGTAGCAGGAACTTAAGTACGCAGTTCATGTTTGGGAGCTTGATTGTGTGTGGTTGTGATTTCCTCCTTGTGGCACCTTCTCCTACCAGCCTGGTTGTGTAATACCCAAGGACCTATTCAAGTTTACTATTTGATGATTGAATCCAAAGAAGTTGGAGGAAACAAGAAAACCCAGCATGAAGAAGGTAGCAAAAGCATCTGTTTAAAAGCTAAGGTGGCTTGATGAGGCATACTCCTGGGACCAAAAGATCAAATGTAGGGCTGGATGGATTTGTGCCTACCTGTCAGTAGGCAGCATTGAAAATAAACTAGTTAAAAAGTGTGACATTTCCTTTGTCCTTTCCCAGGATCTGCTCAGATTACAGCCCCACATCAATTGGCCTATAATTAGAATGGGGTGAAATCAAGCGTAATTGGGTGAATTAGAATTAGAATGGGGTGAGGCCTCTCCTCTCAGGCTTTGACCCCAAGGAAGGAAGGTGGATACGCTGGCAGGAAAGCTTTGAGTAGTTTTTGGCTGTTCATTCCACACCTATTGATTTATTTGTCAAACAGTATTTATTGAGTACTTAAATACCAAGTACTTTGTATCAGACCTCATTCTAGGTTCTATAAATACATCAGTGAACAGGACAAAGTTTCTACTCTCATTGATTTATATTCCAGTGGGGAAAAGAGGCAACAAACAAACATATAATACATTATCAGGTGGATGAGCCTCTGAAGAAAAATAATGTAGGATAACAAGTTAGGGAGTAATGGGGGTACTACCTGTGGAAGTAACAGCTGAGAACAGACCTGTAGGAGAGGAAGGAGCAAACCATGTGGCTTTCTTGGGGCACAAAATTCCAGAAAGGGGGAAGAAGAAACACAAAGTTCCTGAAATATGAGAGTGTGTGCTAAAGGAACAACATGGAAGCCGGTGTGGGCAGAGTAGAGTAAGGGAGGGAGAGAGTGGGAGCAAATGAGGTTAGGGAGGTGACTGGAGGTCAGATCCTGTCTTCATAAGACTGATTGTTAGTTTGAATGAGATGGGGGCCACTGGAGGGATTTTGAGCAAATATGTGAAATTAGGAGACTCATGTTTTGAGCATTTCCCCTCATAAGCCAGGCCCTATGCTGGGCAATGAGGATATTGAGATCAATGAGATGTAGCCTTGGACATGTAGTGGGGGCAAATATATTCCCAGCAGAGGGGACAGTGTGAGCAAAATCCTGGAGGAAGTAAACAGAACTGAAGGCCCACGGTTGGGAATGTTGGGAAAGAATTGTACTTTTTGGGGCAAGACAAAGAGATGTATGATACAAGTGGAGCAGAGGAAGCAAGGGTGAGATCTCTAAACAATGAGAGGGCTGTCTCATTTCCATGAACTCATTTGATGCTCTCAAGCAGCCATATGAAGTGGGTCAAACGGAAACTGTTTTAATATTCCCACTCTACATATGAAAAAACAGATTATAAGAGTTTAGGCTAGTTTCCAACTCCAGAGTAAGTTGGTAGCAGCATTGGACTCAGAGCCCAGGTCTTTAGAGATTCTCACCTTAGAAATCTCCCATGGCAGCTGCTTGTTCCCCTGGGTTGGCGAGAGTGGGAGGAGAATGGGTGGGGGGTTATCATTCTAATGTGGTTTGGTGGATAAGAGCATAGGCTTTGGAGGGATTCTGACCTAGGTTCTGCCCCTTTGGAGAAATTACTTTTAATTTCTCTGATTTTGGTTTTGGGGTAGTAATAAAACATCACTTACTGGGTTGCTACATTAATAAGAGACAAAGATAGGTATAGAAACTAGGACATACACCCAAATGCCCATCGGTGATAGACTGGACAGGGAAAATGTGGCACATATACACCATGGAATACTATGCAGCCATCAAAAACGATGAGTTCATGTCCTTTCTAGGGACATGGATGAACCCGGAAACCATCATTCTCAGCAAACTGACACAAGAACAGAAAATCAAACACCACATGTTCTCACTCATAGGTGGGTGTTGAACAATGAGAACACATGGACACAAGGAGGGGAGCATCACACACTGGGGTCTGTGGGGAGGAACTAGGGGAGGGACAGTGTGGGGTGGGGAGTTGGGGAGGGATCACATGGAGAGAAATGCCAGATATAGGTGATGGGGAAGAAGGTAGCAAACCACACTGCCATGTATATGCCTATACAACAATCTTGCATGTTCTTCACATGTACCCCAAAACCTAAAATGCAATAAAATACATTTAAAAAAAAAAAGAAACTAGGACATATAGTAATAGTCAAGGTAGTTATCACTTATGTTGAGCTTATAGTATGATGTGTACCTTCTAAGCACTTTATGTTTTTTTTAATTTAAATAATCCTCACAACACACAAATGAAGTGGGTACTGTTGTTATCCCCATTTTAACGATGAGGCAACTAGATTATAGAGAGACCGTGTGTTGCTCAAGGTTAGTCAGCTTGGTGAGCATAGTGGAATATTATTTTAATTTTTTTTTCTCCTTGGTTGAGTTACATGTTGCAAGTAATTAAAATTGAATTGAGGCTGGGCATGGTGGCCCATGCCCGTAATCCCAGCACTTTGGGAGGCTGAGGTGGATGGATTGCTTGAGGTCAGGAGTTTGAGACCAGCCTAGCCAACATAGCAAAACATTATCTCTACTAAAAATATAAAAATTAGCTGGGCGTGGTGGCACATGCATGTCTCTAATCCCAGCTACTTGGGAGGCAGAGACACAAGAATCACTTGAAGCCAGGAGGCAGAGTTTGCAGTGAGCTGAGATCATGCCACTGCATTCCAGCCTGGGCGATACAGGGAGACTCTGTCTCAAAAAAAGAAAAAAAAAAAAAAAAAGAATTGAGATGCCCCTGGCTGGTGGAGTGGATGGACCAAATAATACTGAGTAGCCCTCCTGGTGGTATCATCCATGTTTAGTAAATGGTATATTTAAAAGTCATTCTGGCCATCTTCTTATGGTATTGGCTCTCATTTATGGTTTTCTTTGACTTCATACATATTCAAAGTGGACTATAGCACATCTTCCTAGCCTGAATCAGGGTGGGAACCACTCTCAGCTTCCCAAACCTCCAGCAGGAAATCGCTGTACTGCTCCCCAACTCTGGTGGCTTTCTTTCCCAGTACCAGGCCACCAGAGGTTCTGTGCTAGTATGTCAGCCCCTCTAGAAGGAGTGTTTACCTAGTTCCTGGGTAATATTGAGACTAAGCCTAGATCCTAGAGTTAAAGCAGTATTTCTGAGCTTTTTGCAGGGGCTCTATTTTAGAAAATATTCTACTGAGTTCCCCCTTTCCTTCCCATCCTTTAGACTGGGGAAAAAATAGTGTGCTCGAATACACCATTTCTAGATGCCCCTTTCTCTGGCCTACTACCCTGCCTGATCTGTGTTTTCCTCTGATTATTTCTGGGAGATGTAAAGGTCTCCATCTCTAACCTTGCTTTGAAGCTTTTGAGTGTAAGGCTGAGATCTTAGCATCAAGGTATCATCTCTGAGACCATGAAGATCATCCTCATACACCTCATTTAACATCTGGGAAAACTGACACCTAGAGAGAGAGGAAGGAACTGGTTCTCCAATGCCTTTTTGCCCTAAAGACAGTATAATATAATGCAAAGAGTGAGCATACTCTGTGGAGACTGGAGTTGGGTCATGGACCTGTAGCTAACTAGTTGGGCAACTTTGGCTTATCACTTGATCTTTTTGTACCTCAAACTGTAAAATAGGAGCAAAAATATCTACTTTCCAGGGCTATTGTGACGCTCAGATAAGATAGATTGAAAATATCTGGCACATTGTCTGACCCATATAAGTTCTCAGGAAATATTAATTCTTCTGTGTCTTGGGACACTACTCTTTGTCCCTATCTTCACATAGGCCCTGGAACACACCCCTGTGCCCATGACTTCGGTGTTGATTTACCTTGTGTTTCATGAGTTTTGAGCATACCTGCATTTATCTCCTCCATGAAGATGTAAGCTCCTTGAGTACAGAGGCCAGGTCTACCTTGACATCTGACACACACCTACAACATACTTCTGACCTATCAGAGTTGCCATAAACAACGGGTAGGACTTGGAAACTCTGTAGAATTGAATTAGCCAGGAGTCAGGTGTCTTGGTGCCTTTTTGTGTCCGACTCTATGTAGCAAGGAGGATAAGTAATTCTAAGCTCTCTGGATAACAGACCAAGGAAGCATGTGGCAGTTAAGTTTCTTATTTAATTAGTAGACTTCAGTAAACTGAAAGAAGGAAAAACAATTGTAAGAGGGTGAGTGGGTTCTCTTTCTTTCCCTCTGTTATCATCTTCCTTCTTGTCCTCCCCTGTTTCCTTCTACTCATGTGGGAAGCAGTGAGACTCAAGCCTATTCTTCAAGTATTAGAGACTGAGAGACCAGAGCAGGGATTGAGAGACTGGAACAGAAAAAGAGATTTATAGAGAAGAGAGATGAAGAATTATATCTAATTATCTATCTATATCTATCTATTTATCTGTCTATCTATCTATCTATCTATCTATCTGGAGAGAGAGAAAGAGACAGAGACAGGGAGAGAGAGAACTTATAGAAGCTGGTACTTCTAAGACCAGAGGATAACTGATGTAGAGAAGCTGTAGTAGTCCTGGGGTGGTGGGGCACATTTGGCCTTGGGGTAAATAAGAAAATGGATCTTCCTAGCTTAGAGAGCTGTAAAGCTTTTTCAGGAGTCCCAGGAGTCCCTGTCTCCCTCTGTCTCTACCAGGGCCTTTCTGGCCTCTTCCTGTCCCAGTCTATGCCCAGCCTTGGGTGCCTCCAGGAAGGTGATGGTGCCATCCTCTGCCTGGCTGCCTCTCATCATCGCATGTCCTTCCCAGGGCGAGGACATCCTAGACAGGAGCTCGGAGCTGATCTACACTGGGGAGATGGCCTGGATCTACCAGCCCTACGGCCGCAACCAACAGCGGGTCTTCTTCCTGTTTGACCACCAGATGGTCCTCTGCAAGAAGGTAACCCTGCCCCCTTCTTCCCTGAGGGAGATGGGTACCTAATGGGGTACCAGACCCTCATCTTCATTATCCTCAAGCTCCCAACAAAGTGGGCAAAAAGTGAGGGGGGAAAACAGACAGGAGATTGGCAGCAATTCTGTATCGGGAACACTAATGTGGCACTAATGTCACAGGCAGGGTTGGCTTATGGGCAGCGAAAAACTCTGCAGTTGGTACATTTTATCCTGGTATTTTTTTTTTTTTTTACCCTTTGCCCTCATGACCTTGTGGTGTTCCTTCTGACTTTCTTCTACCCAGAGCTGCTGGTCTGCACCATTTGTTAAAAGTATTGAAATATGTCTATCTTAGTTGGTAAATAGTAGTTTCCCTGAGCACTTTCTCTCATTTCCACTCTAATGGCTCTGGCCATATGACCCCTCTCTGCCCTGGGAACCAACAAGGAGCCACCTGCTTTTGCCCCGACAGGTAGGTACCTTTGTGATACAGGAATTTTTCCCATGCCTCTACCTGTTTCCTATACAAGGTGTACTGGTTTCCCACAACCCCCAACCGTGCTCTTCTCCATTCTTCCTTCTTTGTAATCCATTTGAGGAGAGGTCTTACTCTAGTCACTGACTCCTGGATAACTCTGTGGATGTTGGTTTCTTGTAGTCTTCTCCTTGGTGAGGCTGAGAAGGGTGGCATATGTTCTAAGCGTCACTCCTCCTTACGAGACACTTTTCCTCCTACTTCCTCACTCAGAGTAGAGAGTTCAGACCAGTTTTGGCTCCAAGGACTGACTGGGAAGAATTGGGGACCAGGGAAAGTGAAAAAGGAGAAGGAAATCAGAATGCTTAGAGTTACTTTGCAAATTCGCCATCCTACCCTTGGCTCTTTTGCCATCATCCAGTCTGTTTGTCCTCTACCTCATCCAGTAGTGAATGCCTCTGAAAAGGAGTGCTGAGTCACAAAACACCAGGGTAAATACTGATATTTTTCTGGGCTGGAACATGAACCACACAGTTGTTTTAAGCTCCCTGTCCTTTGTGTGTGCCTGTATGTACCATATCTTGTATTGAATCTTTATCCATTTGCTTTTGACAGTGGCATGAGGGGGAAAAATGCTGAGCTTAGGTTCAGACTGCTTCCATATTTGATGATAAGCTCTGAAGGTCAACTCTGGAACCAATAGCCAGTCAGTTAATGGGGATAATAACTACCTCAGAATGGAGCTGGCCCTGAAAGGGAGAACTTTCATTAATCTGAAACCCAACCAAACATTAATGCATCTTTTTAGCTCCCCCAACTCTTCTCAGGATTTTCATAAAACTAGGAGGTAGGATTTTTTAGGGTTAATTTAGACAGCCATGGAAATTCGCAGCATATCAGCTATGTCACCAACAGTAATGTACCTATTCTTCCCACGAAGGTGTTTACACTCAGAACAATGGCATATTTTATGGTTCTGCACCCCCAGACCCTGTTAATTTTGGCATGTGTTAGCCAAGGCTGGGGTTACTTTAACTAAAATGTGAAACTAGTCTCTAGAAAGCAGTGGCGATAAGAGATAGACCAAGACCCAGAACACAAAACGGTGAGTCAGAAGCTAGGAATAAACGGGAAGAAACAAGATAAACAATGGGCTTAACTCAGAACCCAAGGGACAGTGGAAGACCAAGATGGAGTAATGATCCAAGTCTAAGCCAGATAGTGGGAACCAATGATTAGGAAGAAACTAGAAGTCAAGTCAGGGATGGGGACTCAAACCAGCCAACCTGGCAGGGTTGGTGAAGCATACAACAGGGATGGTGAAAACAAGAGAAACCTTGAAGCAGTCATAGCTTCCCACAGAAGGGAGCTTTCTTATTTTAGCAAGAACCATAAGCCTTCTTCCAAAGACACAGCCAGCCAAGAGTCTGGATTATAAAGGCTACTAACTTGCTATACCTGGGTGTTCTTGACACTGGCTTCTCAGAACACAAGCAGTTACAACCTAATTATTCAAAAGCCATTAAAACTACCTGATGTTTGTTTTGAAGATTTCCATCTGGTATCTACAATAAGCCTTTCCATTCAGCAAATAGGGATAAACTTTGGAAAAATGATCATGGGGCCAAAAGAAGGTATGCAAAAAGATAAGGTATTTTGTCTGCTGGGTTGTTTAGGGACGTTTTGCCATTACTGCAAAAGACTCTCTTCTTGTGATGGAGCTGGGAGGAGTGGACTAGGCTTTCTGGAGGTGAAAATTCCTTTGACAAAGAGAATCCATGGAGGAAAGGAAGGGGTTGCCTGGATTGGGCCAAGGTAAGTGAGGCTGTCACCTCACTCACCTCAGGCACACAATTTAAATGGATACCCAAAACTTCAGTAATCCTTTTTACCAGGAGTAAAGGAGGTAAGGATACTAAATAATCAAATATGGCCACATTAATATCTGATGAGCTCATATTTAAAAGGGAGGAAACAAAGACCCCTAGCAAGTGGCTAAATAATATATAATATTTTACATATGATAATATGTAATAATAATATATATAAGTTATATAAAAATAATTATTAAAATATTTACTATATATTTTAAATTTTATAATATATATTATAAATATATAAATTATTTTACATGTGATAATATGTAATATAATAATATTACATATAATATTTAACGGGAGTGACAAAATAGTTTCATGAGTTCTAGAATGAGTCAAAGTTAGTTTTTAAAAATGCTATTTTTAATTATTTTAAAAGATATGTTCAAATAAAGAAGAAAAAAGAAGTCATAGTCTGACAACCCCCTGTTTGAGGCAGATGGTTTACTGATAACAGGAATATAAATTCCTTCTCTATCAAGGAAAAGAAGGCATAAACCTGATTCAAAGGGAATTGAAGCCCAAAGGATCTGAGGTTGTAAGAGAGTATTTTACTGCTCTGAATTCTTTCATGCTGTCGGTATTTATTGAGCCCCTCTTCCTGTGCCAACCAGCTCTACTTTCATAGCGACTCTAGTCTAACAGAATTTAAATATGATGTAATTTAAAAATATATACATTCCAGGGCACTGAAATAATTCTAAGATGTCCCCAGTGGAATTACCATAGGTTATCTTGACAGAATTATGGGCCCTAGGAGATCCATGAGAAGACTATAATTAGGAAAATGTACCAGTTTTCAAAACAGAAAATAACATATTCTGCAAAGTAGAGATTGACAATAAAATGTTAATGAACTAGCAATTATTGAATACTTCTATGATTCTGTTCTAAGAACTTTACACTTATTAATTTAATCCTCACAACAAACCTATGAGGTAGGTACTATTATTATTTCCATGTTAAGGATATGTAAAGTGAGACCTAGGTAAGTTATATAATTTTCCCAAGGTGAAATAGCTAATAAATGATAGAGCTAGGAATTAAATCTAGATAAGCTGGCTCCAGATTCCATATTGGTAATATTTGTGTCATTATTACCATTGAGCTTGTCAAAATTCCGTACTTGATTATTAAACAGCCTGTGAACATTTAGAAAGAGATATAGTGGCCACAGGGGTCATCATTGGCTTTCTAAGAACAAGTCATATCCCATAAAACTCAGTTTCTATTTTGCCAGTAACTTACTTAGTTGATGGGAGGATTGCACAGGACAGAGAGTATCCTCCTACATTTCAGATTTTCCCACAGTTTCCTTGCAGAAGGAAGTCGTACGGAACAATGGATAAAGCGTAAAGTTTGTAGTCAGACAATTCTGGGCTCAAATCCTGGTTCCAGCACTCACTAACCATATGATTTCAAGCAAGCGACGTTTTGCTTCTTGTACCTCCGTTATATCAATTATAAATGGTGGTGCTAACTACTCTACAGGATTATCGTGAAGATTAAATGGAATCAATGCATATAAAATGCCTGATAGAGTGTCTGGCACCTAGTAGGTACTCATTAATCTCATCTTACCCAACCTCCAACAAATAGCCTTATAAGGTAGTGAGATTCCCATCATTAGATGTACCCAAATATGGGCTAGATGATTATGTGCCAAAGATAGTATACTAAACATTGAAACCCTGATCTTTCTCCAAGATCATGTGACCTAGCCACTACTCATCCAATTCTTAAGGTTCCCTTAATTCCCAGTCACTTATGCAAAAATGTGCCTGTTTTGTACATTGGGAATTGGGATTGACTGATCCACTCAGAACAGCTTAAACAACTTATGCAGCTTGTAGCTTGTTTCAGAGACAGAGAGAGAGAGTGAGAGAAAGAGAGAGAGAAAGGGAGAGCAAGAGAGCACATGTGTGTGTATGTGAAGGTACCTTTAAAATGGCAATTATAGTATGTGGGAAAGTCACCAGTGGCTTCTAATTATGTGACCCCTTCTTTAATTTTTGCTGTCACTACTCTTGTAACTTTTCTTTCAAAAAAATGCATATAAGGCTCTCTTCTCTTTCATCTTATTTATAGTCTGCCTCTGCTCCTCTGTATTTTATTGCCTTGTTATTTTAGTTTTGCAAGTGTTTTATTATTTTCTTCCTGATATAATCATTTGGGAAATTATTTTGATACTTTTGGGGGATTTTTTTCTCTTTGACTATTTACTGTGGAAAGGAGTAGATCCCCTTTTCCTGCACCCTCTGTCCTTGTGCCAGTCTGGATATGTTCTGTTGTCATAACTTGTGTCATAACTGTTCTTTATTCCTGTGGCTTTCACTGTGTTCAAGGCGATCAGAACTAAACAGCATGTAATGATGTTGGGCAGAAGACTTCTATTCAGGGAATGTTCTACATTTCGACAATTTCTTCTTGAACTGAAGGGGCAGATTGGAGGATAAGCGAATTAGGACAACTTATAAATACAATAATAGCAACACAGATGGGACTGGACCAGAAAGAAGGGGATTTGAAACCAGAACTCCTGGGTACTTGTCTCTGCTCTGTCTCTTACTAACTTGTCTACCCTTGGGCTAGTTCTTTAACTTTATCCTTATGTTCCTCAATGTCAAATCAAGCTGATAATAGAAGTCATCTTAG